TTTTTTTTGCATGTAGGCATCCTGGACAGAATCAAAGCCTAAGTTGGAGAAGGATCCTCAAGAACGTGCTGCAAATCCTCATTTAGATAAATCCGACTTGGAGAAGCTTTTCCGGGAGCACGTTAAAACGTTGTATGAGGTCAGTTGACCTTTTTGATATTTTACCTTGGTTATAGTTTTGCTTTCAGGTTATACTCTTGAAATGGGTAGCATTGTCTGAAGACAGTAATCATTCATTTGGTTTCCTGTATTCTTATCATCTAAGTCACATTTGGCATTAGTTTAGCACTCAGAATCTGAATTCATCTGTGAAAGCACAAGTAGGGAAAAAAAAATGTGTTTCCTAAGTTGTTTCTTCTTGTAATCCTTATACTACTAATAATTTATTAGATTTTTGTCAAAATTTGTGTAATATGAATGGCTTGGTTACACACAAAAGTTATGTCTTATTTTTCTTCCTCCAATAAAATAATGTATTGTCTCATAATACTCAAAACTTATCATGAAAGGCATCCATATAGTGCGGTGTATTTTGTATTATTGGTGTTTGTGGTTTAATTCCAGAGATGCATGGTGGAGTTTAAGGGTCTATTGGCAGATGTGATAACTGAGGAGGCAGCGGCTGCCGGTCAAGAAACAGAAGGTAAAAAAACTGTGGTTACATCTTGGTCGACAGCCAAACAAGTCCTAAAGAATGATCCAAGATACAATAAAATGCCGAGAAAGGAAAGAGAGACTCTGTGGCGCCAACATGCTGAGGGCATAATGCGAAAGCTCAAGAAATCGAGCCAAGTTGAAGTTGATGGCCGGAGAACTCATGCCAGATAGATTATTTCTATACTTTTTTTGCTATATTTATTCTGAGCTTCTAATTTATCTTAAAGACGAAAATATGCAACTCATCATGCTAGCAATGCCAAACAATAAACAAGTAGCAAAATGTGATGTAGCTCTGGAAATCGGTGGTCGTGTGCAGATTATGATGTGAATTTTTGGTTTATTTATAGACACATAAATGTAGTATATTTATTTATTGCTCTTTCTGGATTTGTGGAGAGTTTCAAATCTCAAATTGAATTTCTCCCGCACATGGCAGATGTATCATTTGTTAGATTAGTCGATTTCACTACGGTAAATGCTAGTGCTAAACCATAAAATCTCTTACTTGTCATGGTTTCATGTATCAATTTTTGGTCAACAATTTAGAAGAAATATGTTGGTATATTATTACTTTTAATACTATAAAATACTAAGTTGAAATTATAAATGTTAATTATTATTATTTTTATTTTTTTTTAAATTATTATTTTTTATTTACCATCTATATTTCATGCATGATGTATCCATGATACACACTAATTATTCAATTACGAATATAAACTAAAATATTACTAATAGCGATATATAATAAATTAAATGTAGGGTGTTATTATTTACTGTCCTCTATTACTACGTATCGTTCCTCTCCAAACCATTTTGTCCCTGCTTTCAAAAGAACGCATTAGAGATGCTCTTACTAGTTTGTTATTAAGTGGCAAAATGAGCAATAGAAAAGGCATGCAGAAAGTTTAACTAATTTTATTCTATATATATATATATAGAGAGAGAGAGAGAGAGAGAGAGAGAGAAGGGATCATATGAGAATGATAGATAGTGAAAGAATTAAGAATGAATCTACACCATCGGATCAATGATATCAATGAATAAGATGAAGTGAAACATTAATAAATCTGGTCAAAATGTGGCATAGTTGTAAATATATGTATATTTCATTGGCAAATGGACACATCAAAGGGCACTTGTATAATTTTAATTTTCAAATAATTAAGTGGGCCCCACCACTAATTAACCCTTCTCCACCACTCTCTCACACACACAAACACACACACAAAATCTGTTCCTTTTACATGCAGTTCTCACACACACACACACACACACAAACACAGCCGGCGGCACCACAACACAAAGCCACCGCCCGTCGCCTCTGACCGTGGCCTCCGACCTTCGCCTCCGACCGTCGCCTCCGACCGCCTGATACCGAATCTCCCTCGACCAATCTTCACAGCGCCACCATCATCGACCACTTCGATCTCAACAGCAATGCCCGGATGGCGAGTTCGTCGGCGACCATGACAACAACGGCCGAACTCCGCTGCAACAGGCGTTCATCGATGGCCGACGTCGTCGTCGGTAGCGTCCCCTTTTTCGGCGGCTGGTGATTGTGTGGTGGCCGACGGAAGGCGACGGCGGCGGTGGCGTACGAACTACGACCGGAGAAGGTCCATCGGTGCCGCAGGCTGAGGTGCTTTGATGGATGGAGATGAACGGGCCTAAAATTCATCAGATTTTCCAAATTTATGTATAGGGTTTTTTTTTTTGTGAATTTGATAAGATCTAGGGATCTAGATGCAATTTTAGTATTTTTTATATATTGCACTTTAGTTGATTGGTGAAATTGTAATTCATCAAATTACTATTAATATTTTACCATTTCTATTTAATATCTAATATTTTTATATTTTTATGTTTGAAAATTGATAATATTTTACATAAAAACTATATTAATAAAATGAATAATTTTTTTCACATAGTTCATTTATTTAAGTAAAAAAAAAAAGAAAAAACTCTGATATCAAATTGACATAACCGAGTAAAAAATTGACAATTGAATTGAAATTAAAATTCTTGGACAAAAAATTTTAGTTTGGTCGAAGTCGTTCGATTTTGTGCAATTTAATAGTCACTAAAGTGCAATCTAATAATTACTAATGTGCAATTTGTATAACCATAAAATGTAAACGTCATGCATACAAATATTTAATAATAATAATAATAATAAATTTTCATATATGTTGGTCGTTTCAGTTATTTTAATTATTATAAAAGTAAAGCCGCAAATAAACTAACCGTGATTTTAAAATAAATACAATTAATCAAATTGAAATATAGAATTTCAATCAAAAAATTTAATTCTTCTAGTTCCAGTCGATGTTGTGCAATTTGATATTCATTAAGGTGCAATTCTTTGAACACTATTGTGCACTCATAATGTACTTATTTTTTACAATTAGCACCGAACAAACTAAAATTGAACTATATATATAGTTCGATCAGTAGATTATTAAAAATGAGCCAAAATCGAATCGAAATAACCATTATTTTAAAAAAAGTAAAGAACAAACACCGAACCAACATATATAAACGTATGGAGAAATATATTTCATTTTATTTCGGTCGGTACATACGCTAAAGTGCAATATAACATACACAAAAGTGCAATATCACATACGCAAAAGTGCAACATTATAGTATTAATGTGCACGATTTTTTGGCCGATATTGTGCATTGTGAAATGACGAAACTTTCGTCCCAACCAAATCGAAACTGAATACTAATGTGCGTTTAAATTTAAAAGAAAAAAGAATAATGTGTATTTTAATTAAATATATTGTACATTTATCAAATTATGTGTGTAATAAAAATATATTCTAGTATTTATGATTTTTGTATTTAATATTTTATAGTATGAATTTAATTAACATTATCGTACATTTGTTATGTTAAAGTGCAATCGTAGTGACACAAAAGTGCAACCCGTCAGTCAATAATGTGCAATATGTATAATAATATTTTAATATTTTTATCTAATTTTATTTAATATTTAATTTATTTTAAAGATTTATAGAAATATTATATTTTTATATACTTTATAGAAATTATAGATTTGACCCATGGGTTAAATTGAAATATAATAAAATTATTAAATTTACAAATAAACCCCTAAACATAATCTAATTCTCAAACTAAATCCCTCATGTTCGTTCCATTTTTGTTAGTGTTTTCGTGTTTATTTTATGTTTATTTTCTCCCATTCTAGGCATTTCTTTTTGGCTTTTGGTCCATTTGTGAGTCTTGCCATGCATTTTCTTTATTTCGCTCGTTTTGGTTTTTCTTGTTTGTTTTTCTCGATTTTATGCGTTTTTCTTTTCGGTGGTGGTGTGGAGGATAGGCGGTTCGGTTGGGAAGTGGTCACGCAAGGATAATTATCTAGACGGATGAGTTGGGGTCGAGTGGGAAAAGACGGAATCCAATTCCGGGTCCAGATGCGTGGATTCGAGTCGGAAATCACAGCCGGATCACCGAAATCCTTCACCGCGGCCCGCGACAATGTTCCCGCGACCGCGGTGAACAAACCTCCCCAGTGCCCAGTTTTACTCGCCGCGGCCCGCGACATTTCCTTCACCGCGGCCGCGGCGAACAAAATGTCGCAAGCGCACAGCACTTCAGACCAGACTTTCCCGCGGCCTCGGACTTGGTCGCGGCCGCGGAAGCTTCTTCGCCGCGGGCCGCGAGATGCTCCGCGGCCCGCGAAGGCCGCGACTTACAGATTTTTTAAGTCATATTTTGGGATCGTTTTTCATTATGTTCTATGTTAGGTTTTGTTCTTTCTCGTACGAAAAAAGTTCCAGAACACATATTTTTCACTTTCTTGTCTTGGGGATCAATCTTGAGGGTGAAAACTTAAAGATTTGACTCTTGGATTTGGTTTTTTCTATTGTTCTCGACATTGGATTCGTTAATCGTAAGCTTTACTTTCGTTTTCCTTTCGATTGAGATGGCTTTGATTATTGAATATGTTGATGTTGAATGCATGATGAGTAGCTAAATTCATTAGCTAGGGGTAGGGGATTATCGGTCCGGTTCGATTTCGTTTAAATGTTTGGTCATTGCTCATCTTTCCGAGTTGTGCTTAACCTAGGGTTTAGATACTTGATCTCCATCTTAATCTAATTAATCAATTTAGAAACCGAAAGGGGATAAATTGTTCGATCTTGGCTCATTAAGAATAGGCTTGTTCGGTAACGTATTGTCTATGTGCT